GGATCTGGGTGTCCCCTAGCTTGTCCTGCATTTCCTGTATCAGTAAGGGGGTGTCATTTTTGTGGAAATCTGTTGGGCACTTCAAGCCTTTGGCTTGCCATGCTTTTATTTGGATGTTTGGGGCTGTGTTGTGGGCCAGGGGGTGAGTGGGGATGGGGCAGTTTGTGTTTCCTCTCCTAGTTTGAGGGCAGCTTCTGCTGGGGCCGGTGATCTCAGTGTCACCAATGTTTCTTGTTTCAGCCAAGGGCATCAGGCCTGGTGTGAGCAGGATGCTGTCCAGCCTGGACCTTATGCCATGGCGCCCCGACTGCAATCTGCAACTGCTACCACCTGGGTTCCTTTCACCCCAATTATCGCATAGGCCCACCATTTTTAAAGCATTTTAATAGTCTCTCTCTAGTTTTTCAGGGTTTCCCTCAGAGGAAGGCTGCCCAGGGGATTGTGGGTGGGTGTTTCTCAGGGAGGTTCCTCTCACGTTTAGGTTGAGGTCACTTCCCAGGCCTGCTTCCCATTTGGAGAAGGAAATGAATTGATTTAGTGTTCTCTGGATGAAGTCTGACTGCTTAGCTTTGCCATCTAGTGTTCCTTTGGTGGAAATGAATCCGCCTTTTCTGAGCCTCTCTGCTGTTGTGGATGTCTGGTGCCTGTGCAAACAGTCATTGTTCTGGTCTTAATTTGAGACTTGGGATTTTGGGGGAGTCATTTAACTGCCCCCCATTCCTGATTTTAACAAAATTTAAAAGACAGGAAAAAGTGAAGCACCGGCAATTAGGTTTTTAATCAGAGGGTTCCCTGTTTAGTCTTGCAAGAGAGCTAGCAGCTTGGTTGCTACACCGCCAGAGGGCTCTCCAGCAACTAGATTTTTACAGACCTGGCCGGTCAGTGTGTCGCTCCCTTCCACTGACAGATGGATTCAGTTGAGGGGCGGGGGGGGGTCTGCGTCCTTCCCTGGTCCCCCGGGCTCAGTGGGTGGTTCACGGTGGGTAGGAAGGGAAGAAAAGGGAAAGGAGAGTAGGAGAGAGGGGTAGAGGCTTTTAAACCCCAACCAGCTGACCGGCGCTTCTCACTCTCTGGTGCCTGCTGGGGGGGGGGAGCTGCTGCGAGTAAACAGTAAGAGGAAGAAGGGGGGAGGAGAAGAGTAAAAGAGAGCTAAAATGAATAAAATTACGGTAGGTGGTGCTAACATTTTAAGACCCCAAGCCTTGGCTGCAGTCGTCACTAGCCTTTTCATGCCTGGTGTGTGGCTCACAGCAAAAAGGAAAATGGCAACATTTAAAAATCTGATAAGGACAAAATCTTGGGGTCTGGTCTAGCCCTGCGGGTTCAGAATTGGTCGGCCTCAAGCAAGAGACCACAGCCAGGCAAATTGAAGCAAAACAGCAGAGAGGAAGCCTGTCCATTTATTGTTGCCACAAGGCACATGGGTTGTTCTTAAAAGTCCCCACAATACATTTCACAGTACTTTTTTCCAGGGAGTCCTCAAGGGGACGAAGTACTGGCACCTCCCTTTTTGGTTAAAAAGTGTGGCACTTCATGGTGAGTACTAGCACCTATTTTTCTAGGGGGGGGGGAAGCACTGCATTTCACACAGCATACATCAGTGGTAAGTCACAGAAATGTAGGAATGTTCAGGGTGGCAGGAGAGGATATAGTGTTTATTAATATCCTTCCTAACTTAGGCAAGCAAGTTTCTTCGCTTAGCAGAGTGGATTCCCCTTCACACAGCAGAAAACTAGTTGCAAACTCATGTGAGTTCCTTAAGACAAGACACAATTCACTCTGGCTTGTCCAGATTGAAATGTCTTCTAATATTTTCCTAGTAAGACCCCTTGAATCCCTCCTGAAAGAATAAAGAATAAAGACACCACAGTCTTATTCATAAGCAATAAAAAGAAAGTTTACTCACGATCAGGCAGAGCACAGTGTGATCCCTGAAGACAAGCTTAAGGCTTAAAGTTACAAACAGGTTTACCGTGTATGTGGGTTGACCTAGTGACTGCAGGTAGCAGCCGGGGAAGTTCGCAGGACGAAAGGAAGATGGGAAAAGAGGGAGAGTGGCAGCATGTCTTGGCCTTTGACCAGGTCTGGGAAGGTCACACCACCCACTAGTCACATGCAAGGAAGGATGCTCCAGCCAGGAAGAACAGGAAGTTTCGACTGGCTGGACCAAACATTCCCTTGCATGTCCACTCTAGCAAAACAAGGAATGTTGCACTTGACTGCTCCCAGTGGATTACATCTCACATGAAAGGCTGTGGTGTCAGGCAGAAGTCTGAGATCCAGACATGCCCCTAGCAGAAGGCGGCATTTACACCTCCTTTTCGCATTAAAACTTGGTTGGCGCAGCTTCTTTGCTCTTCCTGGGTCTCCTTCCCCTCTGGCCTTTCCTGTGGTGATTTTGATAGCACCTAGTCTGGCAGATGGGAGGGGGATTCAGAGTCTGTGATGATACATCTGGAGGATTATGGCGTCCTTGTTCCCTTCATGCCTTGAGTCAAGTCCCCTCTATCCCTGGATCACCATTTTATCATCCTTTGGCACTAAATGAAACCATTTATTTTGCTATTTTTGGTGAATTTCTATGTTTTGGAAAATGGGCTTTTCTCCTTTGCTCTGGAACAATGCTGTTGCCAAGCCCTTACAGTGCAGTGCTCAAGCTCAGGAGGTCAACCCTTCTGATGTGTTGGGTACCTCCCCCTTGTCCATAACAACTCCAAGAAGTTGCAGATCCCATAAATGTTGGGTCGGCCTGCCAGCCACCTTCCAGTGTCTACTACCACATTGCCTCCTTGACATTCCCTACTTATCCTGTACCCTGCAAATGCCAGGTTGTTCTTGCGACTTCAGTTGTCCTTTCTTTTGTTTCCAGTTGATTTTGATCTGAACAGGCAGCCCTTGGCCTGTGACCAGTGGCAGACACAGAGCCCTCAGCAGCTGTTCTGAGCCTGGCCGGCTCTCCCTGTCTCTCTCAGCTAAGTGGCGTCCTTGCTAGCCCTCCCAGGCTAGACAGGCAGCGTGAGGCTGTGGTCAGGTTCCCCTGTTGCTTTCTAGAGGACGGGGTGGTCTTGTGCCTTCTTTCTCTCCTTGAGTGGGCGCCTTTGGCACTATCCTGCGCTTGAGTGTCCTGGGTTTCTTTGGGTGGCGTGGGAGACTTTTCAGACGGGGTGTAGGAAGGGGGGTGCAGTGGGGGCGGGTCGCCCCGGGTGTCACCACTGAGGGGGTGACAAAATGCCAGGCGGCACTCACCGCAGGGCCTTCAACGTGCCCGAGCCACGCATCTCTCCTGGGAGTGACGGAGTGGCTTGGGTGCCCGCAGGCTCTGCACTGCCCAAAACAGTCTGCCCACCACCTCCTCCTCAGCTGTAGGCTGAGTGAGAGGAGGCAGGCAGACTCCTTGGCAGCCCCAAGGAGCGTCTTGCCCCGCCTGAATCCTACCCATGGACGGCTGGCTCCGCTCCTGGGCGCAGGGCACACATGCCACCCCAGGCACCCAATCGGCTTGCTCCGCCGCTGTCTTCAGGTGAGCTTTCTTCAGTCCATCTTTCCGGAAGTTGACTGGAACAGTTTATGGCATGGGAGTAATGTTTAAACAAGGCAGGATTATGGAACACATACCCTTACCATAACAGAGTCAAACCTCAGCTCCCAAATGCCAAAAACCCAGAAGTAAATGCTCCGGTTTTTGAACGTTTTTCAGAAGCCAGATGTCTGACTCAGCTTCCGCTTGAGTGAAAGAGGCTCTTGCAGCCAAATGGAAGCCACACTTCAGTTGTTGAACATTTCAGAAGCCAAACAGGCTTCCAGAATGGATTACATTCGACAATGGAGGTTTGACTGTAATGGAAAGGGGTTGCCAGGAGTCAGTGGCCATATTCATTTGTGGGCCAAGGGGGTTGGTGGTCCTCAGCCACATTCCTCCTTGCTTACAAAGTCAGAGCAGAAAGGTATGAACTCCCCCTTTTTTCCTTTGGCCCCAGAGGACTCTCGGCTTCTTCGTTAGCTTTTCCAGCCATGCAATATCGACACTTTCATGTTCCAAGTGGCAAGACTGGCCCCGTCTAAGTTTTCCCAAAACCCTGGTGGTCATTCTAGCTACTAGGAGCAGCTGCCCTATCAAGTCTTATGGTGCAAATTCTGGCTCCCCTCAAACATAGACAAAAGTGCTAATTCAGAAGTTAGGATAATGTGCCAATTTAAGATGTTTGTAGCTTTATCTGAATACCATTGCCCAAGATTACTGCACTCGCGTACCACCCCGCCAAAGGTGGAAGTGTGGTCCAATTTCTCCAGAGCCTTGGGGATGCAAGTGACTATCTGTACGGGAGTCTTCTAGGAGTCAGGCACCATGTGCGAATCAAACCCCCTCCTCAGGTGACACTGACCCCTCCAGCACCCAAGAGCCAGAGCTGTTGTGTGGGGCTTTGGCCTGTCAATCGGGGGGTGGGACAAGTGTGTGTCTGGAGTTGTGGGGAAACAGGGTTGGCTCCTTTCTCTGGCACACAGAGGTTTGGGGCCTGCCCCTCCCACACTGAAGGGGGTCCTTTATCAGGTTAGCTGGACCCACACTCTGTACAATCTGGAGGCTGCCCCAGTGTTACAGTATTTTTATAGGCTGAATAATTTGAACTTAAAACTGTTGTTGGTGAGGGGGAGGCTCTCTGTGCCTTTTTGTGGGCGGATGTCTGTTTCTCCAGGTGTGTTGGGGGGGCAGGAATAGGTAGTGCCCCCTGGCCATTCCTGGTGCTTGGCCGGCCTTTTGGGTCTGAGCCTCAGTGTAGTTCTCTCAATGAGGGGAGGGGGCTGCGTCAATGTCCTCCCCCCCCCCCGATCCTCTGTGTTTCCAGATCAGTGGAGTGCCTGCCTCTCAGCCTGTTGAGGGGCTCCCTGCCTTCTCCCAGGGTTTTTTTTTGGGGGGGGAGGACGGTGGTAATGCAGTATTCCCTCTGGGATGCAAACATTCAAACACTATGCTGGCCTTGAAGGTGATTTTTCTGACAAGCTGAACAATAGAAAGGTTTATTTATTGGTTTTCTGCAATTGCCCCATGAGACAGTTCTCTGGGGCAGGCACAGAGTATTTAAAAGAAGGTTTAAAATAAGTATGTAAAAGGCCACCCAAAAGCCCCTACCGAGTGCAGAGAACAAACCCTTAGCAGTTGCCTTATCAAAAGCTGTCAGCACCTGCAGCAAATGTTCTCTCTAGCGGGTGGGGTGGTAAAAGCAGCACCCCCCAACCCCTGCCCTGAGGGGGGATTATTGCCCCTCCCTGTGGAAAAGGCAGGGGGCAGTGTTGGTGGAGGGAAGGGGAGTTGTCTTGTAGCTGGTCCTACGCACGAGTAGCAGAAGCAGGCCCAGATCCTGGTTCCTTTTCATCTGACACGTACATAGACGTTCTGGCCAACCCTGCAAGGAAAGAGAGGGAGAGAGGGAGAGAGGGAGAGAGGGAGAGAGAGGGAGAGAGAGAGAGAGAGAGAGAGAACTTTCAGATAAACCATTCAGTTGGCATTTTCTTGGGTCAGGAGGGCTCCTGGACGACTCTGGCATGATTTCATATTCATGGGTGTGCGCTCTTTGCAGACAGGGAGTTGATGGAGGGTGGGGGCTGAGCTGGGGCCTAGGCCCACCTTCGTGGGGGCAGCCTGGTCCCCGAGATCTGCATTGAAGTGTTACGGAAATGAGAGCGGGGGGGGGGGAGGGGAACCATCGGGAGCAGCAGCGAAAAGTTGCTTCTTATTACTAGGAAGGGAACTGAGCTCAGCCCCGACGGCGATCCTTCGCCCTTGAGGTCCTCGCCTGCCTGTTTTAATGGATGGGGGACGCCCTCCCCAGTCGGGCCGTCGGGCGGCTTACCGGGTGGCCTTCCAGTTGTCTGCGTGAGTCGCCACCTCCTCCCGCAGCAGCCACGTCGCCTCCAAGAACTCGTCGCCGTTTTCATCCAAGAAGCACTGCCCCACGAAGACGGTGGTGGAGTCTACGGGGGCGGGGGGGCAGAGAGAGGGAGGTCGGTGGGCTGGCGCCGAGCCGAGGCCGTCCAGCCTCTTCTTCAGGGGGCGGCAGGGGGGGGGAGCTTCTGTCCCTCGGCTGGCCAGCCCAAGTTGGTCCCCCGACGCCACCGCGTGAACGAGAGGGCCCCTGGCGGCTGGGAGCCCTTCTCTTCTCCGTCCATGGGGCTGCTCAGACCCCTCCCTCTCCCCTTCTGCCCCCCCCCGCCTACCGTAGAAGGACCAGTTGACGGAGAAGCCGAAGGTGGGCTGGGCGCGCGGGGGGTTGGGGTGCTGCGTGCCGTGCAGGGGCGACTCCCGGATGGCGGCGTTGGGGGCAGCCGAGACGGCGGCCAGGTAGTAGCCCGAGAACTGGCCGGCCGCGTTCAGGGGCCCGATGAACATCCGGGAGCCCAGATCGTTCACCCACATCCCCTGCAGGTTGCACTACGGGGCCAGAGGGGAGAGAAGCGGGTCAGAGAAGGGACAGTGGGAAGGGACCCCAAAGGGTCGTCAAGTCCAACCCCAAAGACTACTCCCCCCCCCTGATCAGAGAGAGACCCCTCGAGCCCGGACAAACGGGCGCGGAGATCCCAAGGGGTACTTTGCGCCCAGTGGAGATTGCGCCTGCTCGCCACTTTTCGATCCCATCCGAAGCAACCTCCTGCAAAGCGCCTGCGGTAGCTGCTGCACGTCGGAAATTAAGACCCCGGGAAACAAGGAGGGGAAGCCGGCAGCAGCAGTGGCTTCCAAGCCCGCAGAGACACACACAGCCCGCCCCCCAAGTGCGCCTCGACAGCCCCGCTCCCTTCGCGCTTTGACGGGGACTTCTCTGTATCCCCGCCGGTGCGGCGCTGCTGCCTTCCCCTTTCGCAGACGGGAGGGCGAGACAGAGACCCGGCGAAGCCCCGGTGCGGGGGTCCCCTCCGAAGGCAGCCGGCGCCGCTTGCCTTCCCTCGGCCCGGCCCTACCTTGGGCAGGGGAGGGGGCTGGCTTTCGGCGGGCGAGAGGGAGAGAAGGGCGCCCAGGAGCGCCAAGCCTGCCATGCCGCCCAGAGAGACCGTGCGCTGCGCCATCCTCGATGCCGGGAAGGGAATGTCCCCGCCGAGCCGGCGGCCGCCCTCTTATAGCGCCCGGGCGGGCGGCGGGCAATTGCGCAAGTCGGGTGGGCGCGGCGCGGAGACCGGTGCCAAGAGGGCGGAGGGGCTGGCAGAGGCACCCCGGGCATCTCCCCCCCCCCGCCAGGAAAGATGTTCGACCACCTGCCAACAGGCACCGTTATCTTTTTATTTGCTTATTTCTTTATAGGTATATATATTCGTATACTGCTGTACCATAGAAATACACCACAGAGTGAGGAAGGAAGGAAAGATAGTATCTCATAAATATATCCTCTCCTAGCATCTATACACGTCCCTACAATAAATAGACACGATGGGCATACAAACATAGGTACATAAACTATATTCTGAAATGGTGCAAGAGAGCAATCCTGAGACTCTTTTGATGACCCCAAATATTTCTCTGCAGTAGAAGAAAGTATGGGGGGGGGTACCTTTCAAAATAGTTATTTTTCACTTGTAAATCCTGTAAACAAATAAACTGCTTGGAATGAGGGGGCTTGCCCTCTGCAAAAACCAGTCTGGCAAGTAAAGCAGAGCGGACCTGTCCATGGGGCATCTTCTTTTAGCAATGGGTGCAGATTTGTGGGCAGGAGTCAGGAACTAAGGTATATACCATTTCAAAAGGATGGTCCAGGGCAATCAGCATACAATTATCAGATATCTTGACAGACAGGAGACAAGCCACACTCTCTGTGTATGATCCTTTCTGAGTGGTCCTTGGCTAAAGGGCTATGCAATTTCGAAAGCCTTTAAAAGTTCCCGCATACCTGGGTTGGAACTCTGTTGCAACAGAAAAAAATAAAGATCTTCCTTGCTTTTACTAGTTCCTGCCTTCATTTAATTTTCTCTGACCGACAACAAATTAAGGGGGACACTGAATCCCTTGAGGCAGAGGGCCTTCTTAGCGGCACCCGCCTTGTGGAACACCCTCCCATCAGATGTCAAGGAAATAAACAGCTATCTGACTTTTAGAAGACATCTGAAGGCAGCCCTGTTTAGGGAGGTTTTTAATGTTTGATCTTCTATCGTGTTTTTAATATTCTGTTGGGAGCCACCCAGAGTGGATGAGGAAACCCTACCAGATGGGCGGGGTATAAATTATTATTATTATTATTATTATTATTATTATTATTATTATTATTATTATTAGAGAGCTGGTTGTAAAAGACAACCCCCCCTTTCCCTATAACTCTCTGTTGTGTATTTTCTAGAGGAGAAAAGTGAAACACTATAGACAGCATCTTAAAAAGCAGAGACATCACCTTGCCAACAAAGGTCCGTATAGTTAAAGCTATGGTTTTCCCAGTAGTGATGTATGGAAGTGAGAGCTAGACCATAAAGAAGGCTGATCGCCGAAGAATGGATGCTTTTGAATTCTGGTGCTGGAGGAGACTCTTGAGAGTCCCATGGACTGCAAGAAGATCAAACCTCTCCATTCTGAAGGAAATCAGCCCTGAGTGCTCACTGGAAGGACAGATCCTGAAGCTGAGGCTCCAAGACTTTGGCCACCTCATGAGAAGAGAAGACTCCCTGGAAAGACCCTGATGTTGGGAAAGATGGAGGGCACAAGGAGAAGGGGACGACAGAGGACAAGATGGTGGGACAGTGGTCTCGAAGCTACCAGCATGAGTTTGACCAAACTGCGGGAGGCAGTGGAAGACAGGAGTGTCTGGCATGCTCTGGTCCAAGGGGTCACGAAGAGTCGGACACGACTAAACGACTAAACAACAACATAGTTTTTCATAAAGTATATTGTCATGGCAAATTACAAGCTCCAGAGAAAAACCACAGTTCTCAGGACTGACAATGGGGTGAGTACTGTTCAGTTGACATGAAAAGGAAGGGATTGCCCCACAACATATTGTAGAGAGAAAGTTTAGATCCATTATGGAAATGACATGTTGCGTGCTAAAGGATGAAAATCTTCCCCAGAGAATGTGGGGAGACCCAGCAGCCACTGCAGTGCATCTCCAAAACTGACTGTCAACCAAGGGAGCTCCACACACACCTTTGGAACTCTGGCATGGGAGAACACCCAACTTGTCACACACATGTGAAGCATGTCTGATAGTTAACATATCCAAAGAAAATAGGGGAAAGCTAGAGACTGGAGCCCAGGAAGGAATCCTACATAACTCTTTATTCTGTAGGAAAAAACTATAGAATTATGGGCTTAATAGCAGGACAAGGCAGATCAGGACAGGCAGTTAAGAAAGCGGTCTAAAGATCTTTCTGTGCAAACAGAGGAAGGAACACAAGACCTCATGTACTTCCCACAACTAACATGTAACATCCCAGATCTGCATTCCACCGTCATAGCACCCTCTGCAGGTGATGAGCAGGAAGAAGATGCGGAGGACCAGACTCAAAGCAGGGGCACCACCAGAGACAATGAGGACGGACTGATGGCGACATGCCTGAGTTGGAGGAGAGTGATGAAGGCAGAGCGGGATTATGTCCACCAACTCGTTCAGGGGTCTGGAATGCAACTCCCAGGCAAAATGAGTATCGCCTTTATTCCATTTCCTGCAACGTTGACAGTGCTATCCTGATCTCCACTTCTAGGACCTTCCACTTTCTTTTTTCCAATATTTTCCAGAGTCAGTACCATAACTTTAATAGCACCATTCTCTGAATTCACTCCAGTGCTTTCTCTCTGCTAGAACTAAAGGCCAGGACTGAAGTCCTAAAGCTTCTTTCCCTCTCAACCACCAATGCCATATCCAGATAGTTCTGCAAATCACCACCTGTAGTTTTATCTTCTTCTCCTCCAAATCCTTGTATGGAGGTCATTTCTGCCTCTGAGTCTTCCCCATTCCCAGCTTCCACCTCCTACTTCTCTGGCTCATTTTCTTCATCTTCATCAAGCATTGATCTGACCACTTTCAATTGTTCAGCCATCAACTGCTTGACCAACTGAGACTGGTAGATCCAAAAGTACATTTGTCATCCTGGATACTTGAGATCATGAAAGTTAATTGCACACAAGATGCAATTGTACTGTATACAGAAAAATAGCATTGATAAGTCTGGTAATATAACAATATAAGAAAAAGTATCTATAATCCTGACATGTTTTGACCTCAATAGGTTGTCTTTTGTGGGAAATTATACAGTGTTAAGATGGGATTCAGGATACCAGTGGATGGTGTTGAATGGCTTTGATCGTAAGTTCTACCAAGCCATGCTGTTAATGGTTAAGAAGGGCCAAGGTGGGGCATCAATGTAAAGGTTCAAGCAATTTTTGCCTCGTTTATCTTGTTTTCCACAGGACTCTTCAAGCATTCCCGGGCTACAGTTGGCTTCAGCTGGAATGCCAGATTTTACTTGCCGGCAACTGATGTTGAGAACATTCGTATTTCAGAAAGAGAGCTGTGTTTCAGCATGTATGGCTTAACTCTGAGACTCCTTTGTAATCAGTTTGCTGATAAAGAATGAGTGCAATAAAGAAATTGGTGAAAAACTAGCCTAAAGTAAAAGCCCAGTCCCTTTGGAAAAGGAATATGATTCAAATGGGGAAATTATTTATTTTTGTTCCTCCATTTTGATGACTTGTCCAAATTGTATTTCTAATTGTGCTCAATTATGACGATTGCAGATAGGTCAATCATTTCTAGGCAGTGATGCACATCAATTATTTTTATCAGGTTTTGAAGCAATTGTCAATTCATTAACTTGAACTTTGTGTGAATATCAATTGCTCTAGGTGAATATAATTTCCATGTGTTCCAGCTTAGGGAGGATGGTGGGCTGGCCACTGGTTTGGTGTCGAGACTAAACGACTGGCTAGAATGTCTCACCTGAATTATTAGTAAAGAATTTTTTCATCTTTTCTGCTAGAACAGCTTTAACCATTTCCCTGAATGGGATGAAGCTGGCAAGCAGCAGGCGCAATTGTTAAAGCTTCTTAGCAGGCCAGTGTGTAATTTGTGTGCGTGTGTGTGTCGGGTTCATGAGGTCAGGGGACTCTGAAAGAATAGAAGAAAAATTTACTTAAACAATTGCCCTTGTTCTCAGATCTGTCTGTCCTAATGACCAGAACACAAACTACTGATTATACTTTTCCGTGGCTCTCCTGTTGATGTAACTAAACAGCTATCTGGGTTAAAGATTAATCAGTATTAAAAACTATTTCTATTAAAATCTCCAGGCATGCCTGCTTCTCTTCTCTAAAAGAAGCCTTCTATAGGATATATTGGACAGGAAGGTGTGCCATACTTGGTCATAATCCAAAATACTCAAGGAAGGTATTAGTTTTGTTCATGCTTTTCTGACGAGGAAGAGAAGCTGAGTCTTGAGAATGATCCCAGTCAAAGTGGAGGCTGAGCTGCGTCTCCAAGGATATTTCTGAACAAGGAGCCTCATTGTCAGTGGCCCAGAGGTGGAGCACTAAACCAGTTAAAGGATCTCTGATGTCAAGGATGTGGAAGAGTTTCTGGACCCTGCGATCACCATCTGAGGCCCTTCTTCCTGTGCCTCCTCCATGAGAGGTCCACAGGGTGGCCACATGAGAATGGGCCGTTTCTGTGGTGGCTTCCGGTTTGTGGAATGCTCTATTCTGCCTTGGAATACTGTGTCCAGTTATGTCCAGTTCCTGTTCTGGAGGGCAGGACTCAAAACAATGTCTTGTAATCAAGTTACAAGACAGGAGATTCTGACTAAACATCAGGAAGAACTTTCTGACAGTAAAAACTGTTTGACAGTGGAGCAAACTCCTTCAGAAGGTGGTGGACTCTCCTTCGAGTTTTTGAGCAGAAGTTGGATGGACATCTGTCACACAAGACCTAGTTGAGATTCCTGCAAAGCAGGGGGTTAAACTAGGAGACCCCCACCCCCGTTCCTTCCAACTCTACAATTCTATGATTCTAAAGTTCAGGATGTTATTAGCCAGTCAATCCATCTTAACGTTTCCCCCTTTGAACCACAGCTGCAAAATTGTTATCTCAAAACAAATGCTTTCTCGTGGCTAATGATCACTGCTTTACTTTCAGTTTCACCAGGAAACAACAACAAAAAGGATTAGAGATTTTTCCAATAGAGGGGTTTCTATTTGTATTGTTGTTGTTGTTGCCTTTCTCAGTGTAGCAAGCGTCTTCTTTCAGGGTGCAGGCTTGGAGTTCAGGAGAGTCTCGTGCTTTGCAGCCATAACAAGCTCCCGGTCTGTTATGCCGGCCTCAAAGCAGTCAGAAATCTGCTTCTCTCTTTTGCCAAAGGAGGTTGTCTCTCTGATGTGGTTCCCCCTTGCTTAGATGCTGTCTCTAGGGCAGTTCAGTAGAGCTTGTTCAATGGAATCAGAGTTCACAAAGTACATATGGCTGTTCTGGCAGTGTTTATGGGAGGCTGCGCTTTCTGCTTTGTGCTATGGGTCCTCTGGCTGGAGACGGATCTGGCTCACCACGAGGGAGTCATCTGTGTCACAACTTTGCGACAAACAACTCAAGAACCCCATGAGTGAGCATGACCCCTCCAGGTGGGGACCACAGGTCAACCGGAGGGTATCAGAGGTCCTGGGATCTTCCTTGACCTTCCTTCTTCCTCCTGCCCCACCTCTGTCTTCCTCACTGGACTGATGGTGGACCACTTCCCCACTCCGCTGGAGCTGGGGCCAGGACTGGCGGGGCGAGAAGGGTGAACGGGGTGGGGGGAGGAGAAGGAAGCTTGAGGCAGTGATGCTTCTGAATCTCAGTTGCTGGAACTGGCAGGAAGGCAGAGGGCTCAGGTGCCCAGATGGGCCACCTTGAGACAGAGGCTGAACCAGAAGGTCCTCTGTGGCCTCATCAGGCAGGATCTCCTTCTGTTCTCATGGCTCTGGGCTCCTTCCAAGGTGGGCGCAGCGAGTGGGCAGAGGTTCTGCAATGATGTCCAGCATCCCTTCCGGTCAGGCCCTTCTGTTCTCATGGCTCTGGGCTACAGTGGTACCTCGGGTTACAGACGCTTCAGGTTGCATACGCTTCAAGTTACATACGCTTCAGGTTACAGACTCCACTAACCCAGAAATAGTACCTCGGGTTAAGAACTTTGCTTCAGGATGAGAACAGATATTGCACGGCGGCAGCGGGAGGCCCCATTAGCTAAAGTGGTGCTTCAGGTTAAGAACAGTTTCAGGTTAAGAACGGAGCTCCAGAACGAATTAAGTTCTTAACCCGAGGTACCACTGGACTTCCAAGCTGGGTGCAGCGAGTGGGCAGAGGTTCTGCAATGATGTCCAGCACCCCTTCGGGTCGGGCCCTCTGAGGACAGAGGTTCTTCTGAAGCCCCCCCTGCGCCGCAGTCCCCGCCCACGGATTCTCCCCTCCAAATCCCCCCCCCTCCAGTCGCCTCGCCCCCGCCCCTTAGGGAAGGCAGGCCGGGTGAGCGAGAGTCCTGAGCCGGCCTTAGCGGGAAGGAAAGACGCCGGTATTTTTGGAGAAGTGAAAGGAAAACCCTGCGTCAACAACTCGCCAACTTTCGGTTTTGCGGGGAAAAGGGAAATCAGCTGGTTTCTCAGAAAGCACCGGGAAGGGGGGGGGACGCGGCCGGAGGCTATATGAGGGCGGCCGGGGCTCGCCGGGCTCGGAGCCCTTCGGCAGCAAGATGTGGAGCAAAGTGGCCCGCGCGCCCGCCGTGGCGCTCCTCTTGGCCGCCGGCGCGACGGCCGGCTTCACCTATTCCCGCTCGGATCCGCCGGTCCTGCCCGTCGTCGAGGCGGCGGAGAAGCGCTTGAAGGTGAGGCCGGGCGGGGCGGAGCGTCTACCGCCGCAAGGCAGACTCCTTGGGAGGGGGAGACGTGGACGGGGAGGCGGATAAGGCGCTTCCTTCCCCCCGCAAAACAGTCAGTTCCCGTTACTGGGGGAGCGCAGGAGCGGGGAGAGGGGCGGTTGCTCTGCTCGGGTGCCCTTGCGGGAGAAAGGAGACCCTGGGCTGGGGGCCCACTGGTCTCCTCCTGCGGCGGGGGTGGGGTGGGGAACTGGCCACCAGCTGTCTCTCGGGGGCTTCGGACGGGTCCTTTGGCAGGGAGGCCGCAGGACGTAGCGGCGGGAGCCCCCTCCAGGCACCGAGCAGGCGTCGGTCCGGGAGGGGAGCCCAGAGGCAGGGGCAGGGCTCCACAGGGAACGTGTCGGGTCCTCTTTTAAAAAGGCTCTCAAGACCGCGGCGGCCCTCTTCGCCCCCTCTTTTGGGCAGGAAGGGGGCGGGCCGGGGTGGGGCGCTGCCTCGACGCCGCCCGCCGGGCAGGGCGAGTTCTGCAGCCCCGAAGGCGGAGCTAGCAGCGCCCGGATGCCCCTCCGTGCGCTCCCGGCCGGGGCTGCCCCTTCTGGGACGAGGAAGCCAGCCTTGGCCCCCGCCGGGCTGCCCCGAGAGTGACGGAGAGGGGTCCTAGGCGGCGAGGCGCGCCCGCTTCGCCTTCAGGCCGCAGCCACGAAAGTTTCCACCCATCCCGGTTGGGATTTAACGCTAGGAGCAGTTTCAGACGCGGAGCCCTCACCCGCCCCGTCGGGGGCAGAAGTGATGAATCGGGGCCTGAGGGCTGGGCCCCCCCAAACCAGCCTCGGAAGGAAGGTCTGGGGGGTTCCCGGAAGTCCCCCCCCCGCTGACCCTCCTCTTTCCCTCCTTAGCCCTCCTCGCCAGCCCAGAGCTCCCTGGCCGGCACGTGGGTCAACGAGCTGGGCTCCAAGATGGTCCTCAACCCTCCCGACGACTCCGGCCAGTTCACGGGCTCCTACCTGACCGCCGTCTCCGCAGCCCAGAAGCCCATCCGCGTCTCTCCCCTCGTGGGCGCCCAGCACGACCCGAAGGGGGCCGAGGAGGAGTATACCTTTGGCTTCCTGGTCAACTGGTCGTTTTCAGGTAAGGACCCCCTCCCCGCTTTCCAGGGTGGGCTGGGGCCGCTGAGAGCTAGGACTGGGGGTGGGGGCAGCTCCAGCAGCTCCAGGCGGATCAGGGGTTTCCCTTATTTCACATGCTGATAATTTAGATCGTGCCCTTGTTTGCATCACTCAGGCATCTTGTTATGTTTTAATTATTACGCTGCATAAATTAAGTCCTTAATGTTGTACTTGGCCCGGATAAAGGGCTGTATATAAATTGAGTAAATGATTACAGCAACAAAAATTTCTGGAACAGAGGAAGCTGACTTTATTGTACTGAAGCCACTGAAATCCTGGTTATATGCCAATAAAGGTTTGAGAAGTAGAACTGGAGTCAGAGCACTGGTCCATCTAGGTTGAGTCTGGGGGTTGAGTCTGGGACCTTCTACATGCCAAGCAGGTGGCCTCTGCTGAGCCACATTCCATCATCATGCGCACCAAGTCTCAAACTTGTTAATTGATAGGTCATGTTTGGGTCTGATTGTTCCAGAGGAGCGGCTGAGCTCACCTTTGTTGGATGGGATTCTTAGAGGACTTGGAGTTGCCAGCCTTCGCTGCAGCCAGGCAGGGAGCCCCAAGGGGCTGGGGGGGGGGAGCTTGACCTCCCCAAGGCAATTCTGCCTGGCCTCCCTCTTCCCCGGCCATCACTCCCCTCCCACAGCAAAAGTTTTGCAAATGTTTGGTCAGGGAAGAGAGCCTCTGACCTGCAGCTTCGCCCCCCCCCTGTCCTCCCCAGACTCCATCGCTGCATTTGCGGGGCAGCGCTTTGTGGATGACAAAGGGAAGGAGACCCTGGAGACAACTTGGCTTCTGCGGCAGAAGGTGGAATCCCATGGCGATGACTGGGAGGCCACTCGGTAAGCGGAAAGGAGCAGCTCTCGACGGGGGGGGGGGCTTCTCTGGGGTTCTCCCACCTGCCCCCAACCTGCCCCACCATACGCCTGGTGCTGCTTTCAGGTGCATTTCCACAACACACTCAGCTGGAGCTGCACCTGACCCACTCTTCCCCCCCCCTCCAGGGGATACAATTTCCCCCTTGCCAAGCAAGGACAATAAGGACCAGCGTAGGTGCCAAAACTCTGCTTAGAGGCTCTGTGGTGCTTGCAGGAGGGCGATGCTGCCACGCTGTTTCCTTGGGGGACATCATCTTATGTCTGGGGGCAGCCAGGGGAAGCCCCCACCCGGCCGCCATGGGAGGACTTTGGAAAATGCCCCTGGGGCAGGTGACAACCACAAGGACCAAGGGGGGGTTCATGGTAGCCCTACTCAGAGCAGGGCAAGCACAAGGAAGGGCCTCACCCTTACTCACTGTTTCCTTGCAGGGTTGGCAGGAATGTCTTCACACGAGAAGCATAACAGGATCCGAGAGACTCGCTTGCTGCTGCCGCTGCTCTCCCATCTACCACCTGCAGGAAGAGGGCTTCCCTTTCCCTTCTTGATCAAACATTGATATAGATTATTTCTTCTACAAAAATGCACCATGGCTGTGACAGGCCCCCGTCCTCCCTCCCCAGCAAGTGAAGAAAGAGCTCTGGAGGCTCTGACCTGAACGGATGAACTCAAGTGACAAGGAAGGAGATTCCAACTAAACATCGGTTAGAGTGAAGTCCAAAAACACATCAAGGACCAAAACCAGTTTAGAGAATCAGATTAAATAGAGATGAAAAGTACAAATATGAAGGTAATGTCTTTCTAGAAACTGTATGTACAGAATATTTGTACTCCTTAAATGATTGTATTGAACAAATAGTTTTTTCTTTTTCTTTCTTTTCTTCTTGTTTTTCTTTTAATCGCTATGCATATTTTAGTCTGTGTTTTGATTTAGATTTTGGACTGTTGTTGCTGGTTGTCTTTTTTATTTGCAAAATTTTAAAACAAAAAATAAACATCAGGAAGAATTCTTTGACAGCAAGAGACAGTGGAACAGACTCTGTTGAGAGGTGGTGGACTCTCCTGTGGAGGTTTTTAAGCAGAGGTTGATATTTGGGGGGGGGGGACGGGGGGTTGGACTAGATGATTCTCCAAGAAAGCACTAGCAATGGGACAGGCTTGCTTGTGCTCTGGCCTGGACTTTTCTAGGTCTGCACATAAGTCCTGGCCCTCGTTCCTTTTTCCTTTATTATTTCCTGAGACTTCTGTCCAGCCTTTGTTACAGACAAGGTGTGGGGTACCCAAGCCACACATCAGAAGCGTTGGCCTCCTGAGCTGGCGTGCTCTCGGTCCCAAACCTCGCCTGCCTGGCAGCTCGACTCATTCACTGAGAAAGGCTTCAGGAGTGAACACTGAGGAACGATCCGTACCCGCTGCCTTTCGGGACATATTCAGAGAAGAAAAGGCTCAGGAGTAAACCCGACACAAATTTGGGGCCAGGTTGCCTTCTCCCCCCACCCCACACCCCCATGGAGCAGAAGTCACTTATTGGGACCCTCCCCCCTTGGTTTTTAGGAAGGATCCTGAAGTATTTTCTGGCCATCGTCATCCCCCCCCTTTACTCACAAAACAAGGCAGGGGAACCATTTTGTAGTCATTTATTATTTACATTTACATCCAGATTCTGGGCTAAACTATTACCCTCCCCACCCCACCCAGCTTCTTTCAATGGTAAAATAGATAAAAGCAAGAACAATGAAACAAACAGAAGCAGAGAGTCCATTTAAACAGTGAAAAGGAAGGAGAAGGGCTCCAGGTTACTCTCCAGGCCTATCTCCCCCCCCCCCCGGGATGGGTAAGGGGCTGCTCTGCACACCCACCCATGCCCACGGCTGCTCGACTGCAGCTCCTGGAGGTGGCAGAGGAAGCCTTTCTGGCCCTCTCTCCCTCTTGCTTGTCTCAATTCCTTGTGTCTCATTTGGAGGCCGGACGCTGTCTCCCCAGAAACCCCCGCCTGAGAGTTCCCTTGCCCACAGCAAGAGCCTTCAGGGATCCAGGGCAGCAGCTTCTGGGGGTCTCAGCAATGAAAGCACATCCTTTGGGCAGATGCTGGAGTTGCTCTTCCAGGTGCCTGGATTGAACGGGGGGGGGGTCTGCTCTGTGGGTGGGGGCCACGCATGCCAAGGCGATGCATCTGGAGCAGCCTGCCTCCCTACCTGCAAATAGCACCCCTCCCACTTTGGGCTCGTTCCCCTGCACTAAGGGCCCCCCCCACTGCTAATCTGGGGCTGGAGGCACCCTAAGAGATACAAGCAAAGGCCGGGGGAGGAAGAGGCTGCTTCTCAGAAGGCTTCCACTACAGGTGACACACAAGGGGTACATGTGCAGGAGGGGGGTGTCACGAGAGCCACAGTCCAGGCCTCCATGGCTCAGTTCTGGGCCCCCCAAGACCAGAGTCGGACTCTGGAGTGGAGCCGTTTCTTGGACCCCCCCCCTCGCCCAATGAGCTGCAGGATGCCTCCCCCCCCCAGGTGCCAGGGTCCAGGATGCTAAATAAATGCTTCTGTCTCTGCACCAGGCACAGCTTCTCTTCTCCCCCCTGCAAAATAGTAGCAGGCCGGGAGCCCCCCCCCCCCCGTCTGCCGGCCTGTCCCGCCATTCACGGGCTGCTGGCCGAGCCCTCACATCTCATCCGAGTGGCGTGGCTGGATGACCACGCTGGTGGTGCGATCGACCCAGCCCCGCTCTCGGGGGTGGGCAGAGGCCGGCGGGAGGGCCCTCTCCTTCCCCAGAGGCTGGTGCTCGGGGGGCAAAGGAAGCCCCTCTGCCTGCGGAGAAGCCGAGGGGTCGGAGGAGGAGTTGCTGCTGCTGCTGCTGGAGGGCGGCTGGGCCTCGGCGGGGGGGCTGCGGTGGCCCTCCAGGGACCGGTTGAGGCTCCCCGCTGCTGCGTCCTTCAGGGCGGCCGTGGGCTCTGCCTTCAGTGCGGAGGGTGGGGCAAGGCCAGGGGCTGCTTCCACTGGCTGGAGCTGGGCAACGCTGCTCTGGTATTCCCGCAGCCTCCGGGACAGCACTGCAAGGGCAAAGGGAGCGTACAAGAGGGGGTGAGGAGCCCCTGTCTGGCCTTGACTCTGCGGTTCAGTCCTGCTGGCATCCCCTCACTCTCTCTAGCATACAACTCAATCAAGCCTCTGTTATGCCAACCACTAAACCTCCTAAGCCGGCATTCAGCTTGGGGGTGTCCCCTGGGGACATTGCTGGCTCCCAAGAGAGCAAGGCGTGCTGTGGGCCTGATCCAGATGCAGGGCTTTTCCTGGCCCTCCTGCCTCTCCCTTCTAGGTCATCTTCCCTGGAGGAGTTCCCTCTTCCGAAATTAAACGCAACAATGCTGGACCCTCTTCTTTCCCACTCAAGAAGATGTTGAGTGTCATAGTGTGGCTGCCCCTGAGCTGCAGAACCCAGAACGTCTCTCTCTCTCTCTCTCTCTCTCTCTCTCTCTCTCTCTCTCTCTCAAAGTTGGGGTTGGCTTTTACAGCCCTGCTCCCATTCAAGGCCCGCTATCAGTCAGAGAAAATAAGCTGAGATCTGGCTGATCTTGACTGCATTATCTGCTGCCACAGAGTCCCCCCCCCCCCTTGCTCACTCCAGAATCAAGGTTCTTCCTCTTCCCCACAGAATCCTCATTTTCTGAAGGCGCTAGACATGTGAGATGCGTGGCAAGGACTTCAAGGGGCCGGACCCTTCGTGATGCCTCAGGGAAAGGCCAAACGGAGGGTCTCAGGACAACAAGCCACTGTGCCCTGGGAGCTGCTCTGTTCAGCTGGGGGGGGGGCGGGGGGGGGAGATCCCAGGAAAAACTTTGCCCGAGGTGCTTTCTGTCCAGTAGAAGAAGGAGGGGTTCAGGGGCTGCTGAGCCAGCCTGTCCATTTCCAGGCAAGGGGGCTCCCATGTCCTTCCAACTTGCACCCGACCCCCTCCCCAGCGGCGTGTGGCTTTTGCAAGAGCCGCCTTGGCACCCTTTGAGGAGACTCACCTCCCTGGAGCTCCAGCTGCTTCTGCTGGCTTCCTCCAAAGGGGTAGTAGCTGGGCCAGAGGATCAGGCAGAAGGAGAAGACCAGGACCTATCGCAGAAACAGAGACTTGTGGCATTGGAGGGGTCCCAAAGGGTCTTCTAGTCCAACCCCCCAGGAGAGGGAGCCCAGGGCAGGCATCCCTCAGCAAGGGCTGCAAAGGCAGGTGGCAGGCAGCCTGGGGGCAGCTCAGGAGAGCACAGCACCGGGGGGGGGGGGCTGGAAGGGGGGCAAGGAGGAGGAGGACCAGGACCTCACAGAAGTCAGGAGTCCTCAACGCTGGAAGTCAGAGGCACCAGTGACAGACAGAAGATGCCTCTCCCCCCAGGAACAAGGCGGAGCCCCTCTGGCCAAGAAGGGGGGGGGGACAATGGCCAGCAGGCTGGGGTGGATTGCTGAGCCAAGGGGCTGCGGGGGTCCTGCAACTCACCAGGACACAGGTGCTGGCCGTGGTGGTCTTGGTGGTCGAGTGCTGGACCAGGGCTTGCAGCTTCCGCAGTTGCTCCAGCAAAGACCTGCAGGCGAGGCAGAGCAGCCGGTCAGCCTCCCGCTGCCCCTGAGCCCCCGCTCTGCTCTGCGGCCAGACACACCTCCCAGAAGGGTCCAACATGACCAGGGGACCTGAGTGAGGATGCGGGTCTGGAGGGGCGGGTTTCTGCCCTGCACTATGGAGCCTGGGGACAGCCATCCTCTCGGCCTCAATGCCCCCGCCCATGAAATGGGAGCAGGAGTGGCCTCCCTCCCTCCGCAGGGCTGTCACAGTGGGCACAGCACAGCAAGATGAAAAAACCCAAAGCACTGTGCCAGCGGCAGAAGTCAGCGAAGGAGGAAGCGCCACTGGGGCTGCCCCCTTGCTCTCCGCCTTGGGCTGGAAGACCCCCCCCCGTTCTCCCCAGGGCCCTCCTTGGGAGGAGGTGGTGGCAAGGTCCCAGGGGAGCCCACCCTCCTTCCCAGGGACCTGCCAGGCAAAGGAGGCTCTCACATGTTCTGCTTCTGCAGCAGCTGCACTTTCTTCTGAAGTTCGTTGTTCTGGGCTGTACAGACGACGACCCTGCAGGGAGGGACAGGAGAGGAAGAGGGTCAGGAGGGGCCTGGCAGCCGGGGTCTCAGATGGGGCCTTGGAGGTGCAGGAGCAGGGGGGCAGAGGAGCCCCAAGACAGGAAGGCAGGGAAGCACACCTGGATCTGCAAAGCCCCCTCTCGCTGCTGAGGAAACCCTCCCCTCTGCTCTGCCTGCCTCCCCCCCTCCCCCCATGCCCAAGAGGCCTCTGCCCCCCCACTCCCCCCCCGGACTCCCTTGGGTGGTGGTGGATGCTCCTTCAGTGAAGGTTTAGAAGCATAAGTCAGATGGCCACCTATCAGGGACTCTTGCACTGCAATTTTGGCATGGCAGGGGGCTGGGCTACATGACCCTGTGACGAAAAAGTTGGTTTTGCTGGACAGGTTGAATCAACAAGTGTTTCTCTCTGCCCCCCCCCTTTCTCTCCCTACCAGCAAATGGTTAAGGAAGCAAAGATTTAAGGCTGCCTCTGGTTGGCTGAGGTTCCAGGAGGAAGAGTTTAAAAGGAGGATTTGAGAAGAGTTAACTGGGAGTTGGTTGGAAAGAGGTTGGAGAGGCTGGGAGACAGGTAGGGAGGCAGGTTGAGGGAGAAGAGTGAAAGGGAGAAAGAGCTGGTTCTGGAAAACAACAACTTCCGCTCTGAGCGTATTGGGAAGGACAGAGTGTGGACTCCTGGGGGAGGAGTAGACTGGAATTTTACAGAGAGGCCGATGTTGAGCAAGGAGGAGAAGGAGCCGGAAAGGAACAGGCTCCTTGGGACTCCAATCTAGATTCTTCTAAGGAGAAGCAGCAACTCCCAAGCCCAGGGAAGGGAGGGGGGTGGAGAGCCCTTGGGCCTCAGGAGTGTTAAAGGGGGTTAAAGAGGACTGGAGGAAAGAACCAAACCTATAACGCAAAAACAACTGAGGACAAATTA